AAGGCTGGGGAGGGAGGGAGGGAGAGAGGGAGGAGTGGTGAGGAGTCATCTGACACATCCAACTTCCTAAGTTTGTTGTCCGCAGGAGACCGACTGCTCTAACCCTCACCCCTTGGAAAACAAGGAAAGCAGAGCCGACAACAAGAGCTTTGCTTTTGGAAAAGCCATTAGGGGTTCCTTTTGTCAGGGGGCAGAAAGAGCAGAGCAGAAACTGCCCAGCACCGAGAGGAATCCCAGATATTCGGGGCTTTCTACCTACCCAGCTCCTAGAAACACACAGCAAAGCCACTTCGCAGGGAAAACCTGCTCTTTGTCCTCCAAAATGCTTCGATCGCTGGAGAAGCCGGCAAGGAACCGAACAAAAAGGGAGGGGGGGAAGGAAAAGAGAGGGGGAGGGGAAAGGGAAACAGAGCAGCAGCCGATCAGGTTGGGCCTCGGCCCCGCTCTGGCCCAGAGCTCTTTCCAGGGTATCCCTAAGAAAGGTTTTCCCCCCTCACTAAACAGCTGGAATTCCCGACCCTCCTCCCGGTGCGATTAAGCATCGATCGCAATTGGCGGAGTCTGACATGTGTGTAACTTTAAACCCCCGGATAAAAATAGCTCCGATTCGAGCACCATCAGGACTCATTTCCTATTTGCTTAAAAACAGGGCGAAAAATACACCGAGAGCAGCTTTGTGGGGAGAAAGGCGCTGCGCGAACGTCAGACAAGTTTCCTTCGATAAGCCACAAACAGGAGCGCTGCTGCTGCTCCTCCCTCTCCCCCCCCCCCTCCAAAAAAACACCACCAAATCCAGATAAGTTTGTTTATCTCTCCCTGGGAACTAAATCAGACCCGTTTCTCGACCCCTCGAAGCAGCACGGCAGAGCCACCAGCCCCGAGTCCTGCTGAGGGAGGTCGGGCACGTTCAGGAGACAGATCCGAGAAACATTTCATCCACTCTTGCCATTGCCACCCTTTCCACGCTCACACCGCCACCTTGTAAACAAAAACTATTAATAAAACAATCCTAGAACCGAATTCCCAATGGTATTTTTCAACGCCACCCACTCTCCAGACAGAGAGAAAAAAAGGGATTCACTGCCCCGTAAAGGGCCAGGAATAAAAACAAGGAGAAAAAATATAAACAGATCTATGTAGGAAGAAAGGGAAAAATAAAAAGTAATAAAGCTTAACCAAACCTAGAGGGTTACATAAACCTCTTGGGAGACGGGCTCGGGCCCTGATGCCCTTCACCCACCCCTGGGTCTGCTGAGCCAGACCCCGAGGGACCCCCTGCCCCATCCTCCCCAAAAAATTAAATCCCTAAGCCGGCACCAGAAGCTTCATGAACAGCGGGGTGAAATGGTGGAATAAATAATAATAATAAACCCCACAAAAGCCTTTCTTTGGGCTGTGGCTGCTGGAACTGCTCTTCCCTTCTTCACCCTCCCCAGGGCAGACAAGGGGGGGTGCGGGGCACCCGGATTGGGGGGGCATCACCGAGGGCCGCCTGTCAAGCCACAGAGGGGAAAAACCCCCCAAAATACGGCAGAAGGGGGGGTTAGGCCTCCTCTGGTGAGGGGGGAAGGGCAGATCCGACCCCCAGCTCCGGGGAGAGGCCGCGGGGTGCGACTGGGGAGGGTTTGGGGGGCGACCCCCGCGGTGCCCCCCGCCCTCCCACCGCTCTGCAGGCCCGTGGGTGTGGGGAGGGGGGAAAACCCTCCTCCCCCGTGGGCCCGGAGTGGGGAGGCACGGCAAGGATACAGCTTGACCACGTCGGTGTCCATCCGCCTCTTGCCCGGGCTGGGGGACGACATGGTGGCCGCGGCCGCCCCCGGGGCTCCGGGCGGGCTGTCAGCGCCGCCGCCGCGGGCCGGGGCCGCCCGGCGCCGAGGGGAGCGGGGAAGCTCCGGGCAGCGAGGTGCTGGGACCCGCCGCTGTCGCTGTCGCCGCCGCTGTCGCCGCCGATGTCGCCGACAGGGTCCCCCCCCCCCGAGCCGCTCGCGCTCCCTCAGCCGCTCCGGCCGCCTCTGCCCCAGCCTCTCTCTGGACCCCTGACGTCACCCGCGGTGACGTCACGGCCCCGCGGCGCTCCCATTGGCCGCGCCCTCAACGCTCCGCCGGCCCCGAGGCACGCCGGGAGTTGTAGTTCTGAACGGGGGAAATGGTGGCCGGGCTGAGGGTTCGAGGCTCCGCTGGGGCCGCAAGTTCCAGTTCTTCCCCTTCCAATGTTTCCCGCAGTTCTTCCCGTATTCCCTGTGTCTCTCCGTTCCCCATGGATTCTGACACTCCTTATTCCCCCATTTTCATTTTGCCCGTTCCCACCACAGCCAGGGAACCACCTCATAAACTATGGGGTGCACCTATGTCAGGGCCTTGCATTTCCCCATTTCCACTGTTTTTTCCACAATTCCCCACGGCTCCCCCTATTCCCAGTATCTCCTTTGTTCCCCATGGATTCTGACACTCCTTATTCCCCCATTTTCATTTTGCCCGTTCCCACCACAGCCAGGGAACCACCTCATAAACTATGGGGTGCACCTATGTCAGGGCCTTGCATTTCCCCATTTCCACTGTTTTTTCCACAATCCCCCACAGCTCCCCCTATTCCCAGTATCTCATTTGTTCCCCATGGATTCTGACACTCCTTATTCCCCCATTTCCACTGTTTTTCCCCAATTCCCCACAGCTCCCCCTATTCCCAGTATCTCCTTTGTTCCCCATGGATTCTGGCACTCCTTATTCCCCCATTTTCATTTTGCCCGTTCCCACCACAGCCAGGGAACCACCTCATAAACTATGGGGTGCACTTATGTCAGGGCCTTGCATTTCCCCATTTCCACTGTTTTTTCCATAATTCCCCACGGCTCCCCCTATTCCCAGTATCTCCTTTGTTCCCCAAGGATTCTGACACTCCTTATTCCCCCATTTCCACTGTTTTTCCCCAATTCCCCACAGCTCCCCCTATTCCCAGTATCTCCTTTGTTCCCCATGGATTCTGACACTCATTCCCCCATTTTCATTTTGCCCGTTCCCACCACAGCCAGGGAACCACCTCATAAACTATGGGGTGCACCTATGTCAGGGCCTTGCATTTCCCCATTTCCACTGTTTTTTCCACAATTCCCCACAGCTCCCCCTATTCCCAGTATCTCATTTGTTCCCCACAGATTCTGACACCCCCTTATTCCCCTGTTTCCTGTCCCCACCAGGGTCAGGGAACCACCCCACAGAATATGGAGTTTGCCCATGGCAATCCGGTTCGATCCAAGCGGGAATGTGGCCCCACAGCAGGAGTCACCATCCCAGATTTCCGCTGTGACACCGACAAAGCATTTCCCGGTGCCTCAGTTTACCCACCCGGATGATGACACCACTAATGGGTGTCTCCCAAACCGATGGGATCCACACCCCACATTCCTGACCCCGGCATCATCCCATAAATCTGCCCCGGTGCTTCCTCCCCCCGTGGGGAGGAGACACGGCCGAAGAATCCCAAATCCCAAAAAGCCCCAGCATGCCCGGAGTTTGGCAGGGGCAGGAGGTGACACCTCCTGCGGGGACTCAAATCCACACCCCACAATTCAGGCGGGGATTTGGCAGGGGAACAGGGTTCTCTTTGAGCAGAGCAGCTGGAAAACTTGGGATAGAGGATCCTGCATTTCCCAGGCCACAACAATCCCTGACTGGTTCCAAGCAACTGGGATAACTGGACAGGGGAGAAGAAGGATTTTACCACAATTTCTTAGAATGCTTCTATTCCATCTGTGAAACACCAGGGATTATTCCAGGATATCAGGGACTAGAACCTGTTCCTTTTTTGGAATACCTCAATGCCACAGCACCCAGACCTTGGAATGTGGGTGCAGAGGGAATTTTGGGGATCCTCTGAGCACTCCTGAGTGTGGAAATTGGGATGGAGGGGTTGTGGCTGGGTTTTCCCACCCTGGGGTGGGAATATCATCCTCCCATGATTTGTGGGGTGCTTCCCTGATCAGAGATGGGGAGAGGCAGGAGAATCCATGGATAGGGAATGTAGGGAATAGAGGGAGCCATAGGAACCTGCTGGAAATCATTGGAAAGGGGGGAACCAGAGTTCCAGGGAGATGTAAGGAATGGGGAAAGCATGAGGGGGCTCATGGGGGGTCTGTAGGTGCAGGCAGCTGGAAAAGGGGCTCTTCCCATCCCATCCTCATCCCTCTGGATTTGGGGTATCCCCATTCCCACCCCAATTCCCAGCCCAGCAGGGCCATGGGGTGCAGCAGCCCCTCGTTAGGGCCCTGTAATTAGGGAAAGAAAGGGAACCCACCCAAATTCAGGCCCTGCTTCTCCTGGGATCCCAAGAGGGCAGGATCCCAGGAGAAGCCCTCAGGTGGGCAGGTGCACCCCCAAATTTTGGGGTTCAGGGAGAGCTAGGATCAGCCCTGAGCAAGGCAGACACTGCATTTCCAGACACAGGGCAGCCAGAATCCCAAAATCCATCCAAGGGCACGAGACGGATGAAACCTCAGAGATGGGGCTGGGGAAATGGAGGCAGGATCCTTTCCAAAATAAAAAAAATAATTAAAAAAAAAGAGGAATGACATATCCCTGTGCCTCCACCCACATCCACAGACCTGGAGGGAGGAGACACAACTGTGCCAGGTTGTGTGTGGAATCCCAGCCCTCCCCAAAGCCCTTTCCCCAATATCATCCTCAAGGATGGGGATGACACCATTTCCTTCCCAGCAGCCCAAGGCATGGAAATTCACCTCTTCCCAGGTTTTGGGAATCCCACCTTCCAACCAGAGGGATTCATCACCCCAAACTGTCCCTCAGCAGAGGGACAGGGATTGAGGCAATGGAAAAACGCCCACAACAGGCAAAGGAGACAACAAAATGTGGAATGGGAAACAGGGAAGGCAGCGGGACGTTGATCCCATAAGGACAAGAATCCTGAGGGATACAGGAGCCACACCAGGCCCAGAGCTCCTCCTACCCTGGGGAGAAGCACCACGCCAGCAGGAAGGAAAAAGAAAAAACAACAAAAATGAAATGTTTATTCCCACCTGGCATCACCAGGGAGGTGACAGCGTCCCCTTGTCACCTCCTGCACGTGCCAGCTCCGGGCAGGGCTGTCCTGCCCTCGGAGGGAGGGACACAGCAGCAGTTTGTGAAGGCAGTCGGGGCAGGGGGATCCAAAAAACTTCCTCGAGGCCCTTCCCGGGGCACGGAGCTGCCGCAGGAACCACGCAGAGCTTGGATCTCCCCCCGTGCTGCTTCCCAGAGGCCGCTCAGGAGGAGTTCATGCTCTCCCACTGGCGGAAAATGCGGAACACCTTGCAGGATTTCTCCGAGAGACTCTGGAAAAGATGGGGACAAAGCGACGGCCGCAGGTCAAGGCGCTGGAGCAGGGCCTGCCGCTGGCAAAGGGAACAGAGAGAAACTGCAGCAAAAAAAAACAAATTAAAATATCCCAGCTGGCTACCAGGACAGCAGTTTGTTCCTTGTTTTCATGATCCAAATTTACCAGCTGGAGGGGAGAACAAGGACACAAGCAAAAAGCAGGAAGGGACCCCAAAAAGCAGGAAATGAGCCCAAAAGGCAGGAAAGGATCCCAAAAAGCAGGAAAGGATCCCAAAAGGCAAGAAGGGGCTCCACAAGGCAGGGAAAGGAGCCCCAAAAGCAGGAAGGAATCCCAAAAAGCAAGAAGGGGCTCCAAACAGCAGGAAGGGACTCCAGAAAGCAGGAAAGGACCCCAAAAAGCAGAAAAGGAGCCCAAAAAGCAGAAAAGGGCTCCAAAAAGCAGGAAAGGGGTCCAAACAGCAGGAAGGGACCCCAAAAAGCAGGAAGGGACCCCAAAAAGCAGAAAGGGACTCCAAAAAGCAAGAAGGGGCTCCAAAAAAGCAGGTAAGGATCCCAAAAAGCAGGAAAGGAGCCCAAAAAGCAGGAAAGGGCTCCAGAAAGCAGGAAGGGGGTCCAAACAGCAGAAAGGGACCCCAAAAAGCAGGAAGGTGCTCCAAAAAGCAGGTAAGGATCCCAAAAAGCAGGAAGGGGCTCCAAAAAGCAGGAAATGAGCCCAAAAGGCAGGAAAGGATCCCAAAAAGCAAGAAGGGGCTCCAAACAGCACAAAGGGACTCCAGAAAGCAGAAAAGGAGTGCAAAAAGCAGAAAAGGAGCCCAAAAAGCAGAAAAGGAGCCCAAAAAGCAGAAAAGGAGCCCAAAAAGCAGGAAGGTGCTCCAAAAAGCAGGAAAGGAGCCCAAAAAGCAGGAAGGGTCTCCAAACAGCAGGAAGGGACTCCAGAAAGCAGGAAAGGAACCCAAAAAGCAGGAAGGGACCCCAAAAAGCAAGAAGGGGCTCCAAAAAGCAGGTAAGGATCCCAAAAAGCAGGAAAGGGCTCCAAAAAGCAGGAAATAGTCCCCAAAAGCCGAAAGGGACTCCAAAAACCAGGAAGAGGCTCCAACCACCACCTGCTCCAGTTGGGTCTGGTGCCTCTGACTTGTGACTGGTCCCACTGGACCATCTGGAGCTTTCCTGGCACATGGCAGAATCACGGAATCATGGACTGGTTTGGGTTGGAAGGGACCTTAAAAACCACCCAGTTCCAACCCCCTGCTGTGGGCAGGGACACCTTCCACTAGAAGGGACCTTTTGGGGGGACAAACCACTCGAAATCCTCAGGACAAATCCTGAAGGAGGAATGCTCCACCGCTCCCCTGAGCTGCAAACGAAGCAGGAAGGAGCTGGCAGGAAGAATCCAAGTGGATAATGAGATCCAGGGAGGCAGCAGCTGCTCCAGAGCCACAAGGGGTGGGAGCTGTGGCCTCGGCAAACCTGGCAACCCAAGAGCCTGGAGCCAGGAACTGGGATGGCTGCAGAGAGGAGCTCTGGGCATACGGAATGAAACCGGATCTTGAGCAGCACTGTTATTTATAGCAGCCCTCCAGCAGCTCCAGCACAGCCCAGCCTTGGATGGAGCCTGGCTGTGGGAATGCCAGCAGCTCTGCAGCTTGGTCCTTTGTCACCTGGCTGGGACTGATCCCAAACAAAGCCCACCCATCCCAAATTCTTGCTGCCTAGACAAGTTGGGATGCCCCAGGCTCACCACTGGCTCCGTTTCGGGCGCTGTGTCGGATTTTTGGATGCCAAGGAGCCTCTTCAGCACCACTTCCCAGCCTGGCACAGCCTTCCCCGGCTCCTTCTCTGTCTGGGATGCAGCATCCTCCAGGGACTCCTCTCCCTCCCCAGTGCTGACCCAGGGACACCAATCACGGTGCTGAGAGCTGGGGTGAAAGAAGCTCCTCAAGGAAGTGTCCTGGGAAGCGAGGAGGTGACAGAGAAGGGAACAATGGGATGGTTTAGAGTCTCCACTGGGAGTGGCTACAGGGACAACACCAAACCCCTGGATCCCACCCTGCCCGGAAGGCTCACCGAGCTGCTGGAGGAGCAGAGCCGCGCCCGCTTGGCCCTGCGGACAGGGCTGGATGGCACTTCCATGGTGTCCCCCTGTCCCATGCTCCGGGTCACGGGGCGGTTCCTCAGAGCGGGGCTGATGGCATCCAGCTCGCCCCTGTCCATGGAGCTGGGAGAATCCCAACCCCGCGGCCGGGACACAGCTGGGGATGGGCTCTTCTCGTGCTGCTGGGGGGGAAAAAACGGGATTAACGGAGCTCCTCTGCTCCAACCCACCCCACAGGAGCCCTTCCCACCCCACAGATGCGTCCATTGGGTGTGGATGAGGCACTTGGAGCACCTGGAGCTGGCCCAGTGTGGCAGGACGTACCTGCTCAGCTCCTGGATCCTGGCTCCGGGTCAGCATCCGGCGTGGGGACGTGGGGACGGGCAGGAAGCGCTCGGGCGCGGCCGGGGCGCTGCTGCTGGAGCCGCAGGAATCCGGCTCTGGAGCCGCAGCAGAGTCCAGCTGGTGGAAGCCCCACAGCCCCACCTTCCTCATGCAGCGGGAGCAGGTGATCACCGAGAGGTTGATGGAGCCCGAGGCAGCGCTGCAGGGACAGAGGCACGTCATGGGATCCACGTGGGATCTTCATGGGATCTTTGTGAGATCCACGTGGGATCTTCATGGGATCCTCACGGGATCTTCATATATTCATGGGATTGTCATGGGATCCTCACTGCATCCACATGTAATCCCCATGGGATCCTCATGAAATCCTCATGGGATCCTCACAGGATCTTCATGGGATCATCACAAGATCCTCATGGGATCGTCACAAGATCCTCATGAAATCCTCATGGGATCTTCATGGGATCCACGTGGAATCCCCATGGGATCCTCACAGGATCCTCATGAGATGCTCATGGAATTGCCATAGGATCCCCATGGGATCCTCATGAGATCCCCATGGGAACCTCACAGGATCTTCACGGGATCCTCATGGGATCCTCACTGGATCTACATGGAATCCCCATGGTATCTTCATGGGATTCTCATGGGATCGTCATGGGATCCTCATGAGAGCTTCATGGGATCCACATGTAATCCCCATGGGATCCTCATAGGATCCTCACAGGATCTTCACGGGATCATCATAGGATCCCCATGGAATCGCCATGGAATCTCCATGGGATCCTCATGAAATCCTCATAGGATCCTCACAGGATCTTCATGGAATCCCCATGAGATCCTCATGGGATCCACACGGACTCCCCATGGGACCTCACAGGATCCTCATGGGATGCTCGTGGAATCACCATGGGATCCCCATGGGAACCTCATGGGAGCCTCATGGGAACCTCACAGGGTCTTCATGGGATCCTCATGGGATCCCCATGGGATCCTCATGGGATCTTAACGGGATTCTCATGGAATCCCCATTGGATCCTCATGGGGTCCTCATGGGTTTCTCATGGGATCACAGGATGGGTTGAAATGGATCTTAAAGATCATCTCATTCCAAGCCCTCCCGGGCAGGGACACTTCCCACTATCCCAGGCTGCTCCAAGCCCTGTCCAACCCAGCCTTGGACACTTCCAGGGCTGGGGAAAGTCAGGAGAGGTGGTCAGGGATAAGCCTGGGCTTGGAAAAGTCAGGGAAATAAGTCCCTTAAATCCTGTCTATGATGTTGATTAAAACTGGCTCAGTTGAATTTAGCCTTGCCAGGAAGCAGGAACAGAGGGGGGGAAAAGAGGGGAAAAAAGTGGTAAAATAAGGGAAGCAGGAATGTAGTGGAAAAGTGTGAAACTAGTTTAAAAAAGGAAGCAGGATCCTAGTGAAAAAGAGGGAAAATAGGAAAATAGTGACACAAAGGAAGCAGGATCCTAGGTAAAAGGAGGGAAAACTGGAAAATAGTGACAACAAAGGAAACAGGGGAGTAGTAAAAAAGAGGGAAAATGGGAAAATAAAATCAGGCAGAAGCATAGTGAAAAAGAGGGAAAATAGTGGGAAAAAAAAGAGACACTGAACATTCCATGGGAGGAACATTCCACATCCCTCCAGCCTCCAAGAGCTTTCATGGCAAGCCCAGAGCGTGAGGGACATTCCAGGCCCATCCCTGCAGCCCTGCCCACCTGCAGGTCCAGCCACACAGCGCCAGGATACAGGCAGGAACGTGCACCTGCAGGATTTCCGTGGAAAACTTCCCAGGAGGCTTCTCTCCCTCTGTTCCTTTGTGCTCCAGCTCCTCCCCGATGAGCTGGAGGAGCCGAGTGATCCTTTCCTCTGTCAGGGACTGCAGAGCACAGGGATCAAATGCAAAGGTTTTACTCCCAAATCTTGTCCCACATGGAGAAAAAATCCCTTTTTCCACGCCCTGGAATTGCATTGTGCATCACCCCCAGCTCTGGTTAACAGGGAAAAGCCACTCAGAGCAATCCTCCTTGCCTCTGGCTCCCCATTCCATGAAATCTCCCCCGAGCAGTGGAGCAGGTCCCATTCCTGCCCTGTTTTTGGGAGTCTCCGGTGCTTCCCGAGCTCAGCCAGCCCCAAAACACCCCTGTGGCTGTGCTGAATGGATGAAGATTCCCTGGATCCCACACAGCTCCTGCCTGCCCAGAGCCATCTGCTCCCTGGCAAAGGAGTGTCCAACGAGCCAGACTTGGCTGCAGCAGAGCAGGGCCAGGACAGGTTCCTGCAGGGTGACAACTCCACACTTCTTCCTGGCTTTTCCTGCCTGCAGAGCCTCCTCAGGCTCCTTCACCTTCCCAGGTCTCTGCCCACACCTCAGGTTCAAGGTGGCATCCCCAGGCATCCCAAATTCCTGTCTCCAGACATCCCAGCTAAAGGAGGGATCCATGAGCTGCCCCTTCTCATGGAGCTGCCAGGACACTGGGAAAGGTCCAGAGTGGGAACCAGAAACATTTCCCAGCTGATGAGATATCCCAAACTCCTCTTGACACATTCCCATGGTGGAACCACCACACGGGGAATGTCAAAGGAAAATAAACAAGGTGGGAGCAGATCCCTCACACACACACAGGCTGAAATTCCTGATTTTGGGTGGGCCCAGGCTCGTCCCTGGAGCCTGGAATGCTGCAGATTTTGGGAGCAGGAGGGAACTCACCATGTTTTTCAGGTCTTCTGGTTTGAGGGAGGGCAGCTGCAGCTCCAGCTGGCACAGGCTCTGGAAGCGATCCAGGAAGTCCTGGAGAAGGACCCTGGGCTCGTCCACCAGCAGCTTGGCAAAGCGATCTGGGGAGAGCAAAAGCTGTGCTCAGCATTCCCAACCCCTCCTAATCCCACAGGGAAAGGGAGGGCACCAGCCCAGCCACGGGCTCCACGGAAATTCAGTGATAGGATAAGAGGGAATGACCTTAAGCTGCAGGAGGAAGAGTTTAGGGGGGACATTGGGAATTGGGAATTCCTGGCTGGGCTGGAATTGCCAGAGCAGCTGGGGCTGCCCCTGGATCTCTGGAATGTCCAAGGAAAGGCTGGACACTGGGGCTGGAGTCCCCTGGGACAGTGGGAGGTGTCCCTGCCATGGCTGGGGTGGCACTGGAGGGGCTCTGAGGTCCCTTCCAACCTCAACAATTCCATGATTGTTTTTCTGGCTTTTAAAGGAAAAGCTCAGCACAGCCTCTTCCCTTCACAGCATTCCCAAGCAGCACAGCTCCCAAGACTGGATCTATCCCTCTCTGAGCATTCCATGACACCCAAGCTCCCCTGTCCCCTCCCAGGTACACCCCAAAACCATTTTAACTGCTCCAGAGGCACCCAAAGGTCAGGAAAAGCTGGATACAGCCCCGGGGCTTTGACTTGCTGAGGTTGCTCAGGGATGTTGCTTTCCTGTTGTATTCCACCATTCCCACAGGGAGAAGGAGAGTGTGATGACAGGAATAACAATGGAAAGGGGGGAAAAAATGAGACTAATGCTGGATTGTGCAGGAATCTGAGGCACCCACCTGGGCAGGGGCTGTCTGGCCAGAAGCAGAACTTCTCGTGGGCAGTGCTCAGGGCCTTCCTGAGCTCCTCACAGCGCTCCTTGTCTGCAGGGAAAAACTCAGGGATAAAAACTTCCCTGCACAGCCACCTCCTCAGGGGATGGCCAGGAGAGGAAGCCACCAGGGTGGCAGAGTTTCCCTGGGATTCTTTCCCAGGATTTCCCAGGATGCTGCCTGAAGCTCCACCTCAGACTGTTGGAATCCTGAATGTGGGAATTTCAAACTTCCTGTGCCTTTCAGCACATTTCCAGGATTCCAACATCAGAATTCCCCCCTTTTCCCACCAAGAGGAATTCCAGGCTCCCTCAAACAGCAAATGTCACCTCAGCAGTTACACCTGCCCACAGCCAAAATCCTTCCCATTCCCATTCCCATTCCCAGGGGAGCCTCTGGAAAAACAGCCCAAGCCAACCACGGGCACAAAACCTGCTGGATCCTGCCAGTTTTTCCTCCTGGGATGCTGCCAATCCCTGGCTGAGCTGATCCCTCCACCCCAGCTGTAGGAGCCAAATCCCAGCCATGTCTGGAAATCAAACTTCCCAAAAAACAACAAAAAGATCTGACATTTAATTTCACTTACGCTTTCAGAATCAAATAATTTATTTTTCAATTTGTTTTTCAATGCCTTCTTCCCAATCTTTGACTATTTTAGATTTTTCTAACCCATTTCTAACCCCATGATTTCCAGTGGAATAATTAGGCCAAGGTTTATTTAACAGAGATAATGTGAATAGATAAGGAATGTTGATATTGAGTGACCCAAAAGGGAAGGCTCAGTATTCCCACCTGGCAGGCAGCAGGAATGTGCTCCCTGTCCACTTCCAGGGGAATTGAAGCCAGCAAAATTGAGAAGTGGGGATGACACTTCCTTGTGGGATAATAAGGAGTTTATTAATTAAATCTCACCATGTAATTTCTGCCTGAAGGGCCTTGGTGAGCAGCAAACACCGAGCAATTTTTCCACGCTGGAAAAATTCAGTGGAGGATCAGGAAAGCAGATCCAGGAATTGGGAAAGAGAATTTTTAAAAGGATTTTCATATCCTTAAATGCATCCAGAGGGCAACGAGGTTGGAGAAATCCTGTGGCAAGACTGGCATGGAATTCCAGCATGGGAACAGCTCAAATCTGCACCAGGGGAGGCTCAGGCTCAACATTAGGAACTATTTCTCTACAAAGATGATCCAACTCTGGAATATTCCAAGAGGTGCTCAGTGCCCCAAGCCTGGAAGTGTTTCAGATGTTTTTGGATAATTCCCTTTGGTCTGATTTGAAATTTGGAACTTCTCTGGGGTTTTCCAGTCTTTAAAGGATGGGTGCAAAGAGGATGGAGGGTCTCCTTTCCATGGGGAGGACTAAAGAGCAGTGGGGACAGAGTGTGCTGGGAAGGTTCATCCCAATGGAAAAAAGACATTTTTTACAGTCAGAATTCCATCATTCCCTGGGACCAGCACTCCCTGGGATCATCATTCCCTGGAACCATCATTTTTGGCACCATCCTTCCCTGAAAATGCAATTCCTTGGGACCATCATTCCTTGGAACTGTCATTCCTTAGGACCATCATTCCTTGGGACCGTCATTCCCTGAAAATGTAATTCCTTGGAACCATAATTCCTTGGGACCATCATTCCTTGGAATCATCATTCCTTGGGACCATCATTCCCTGAAACTATAATTCCTCAGAACCATCATTCCCTGAGATCATATTCCTTAGGACCATCAGTCCTTGGAATCATCATTCCCTGAAACCACCATTCCCAGGGACCATCATTCCTTGGAACCACCTTTCCTTGGAACCATTATTCCTTGAGACCACCACTCCTTGGAACCAGCATTCCCTGAAATGGTAATTCCTTGGAATCATCATTCCCTGAAACTGTAATTCCTCGGAACCATAATTCCCTGAGATCATCATTACTTAGGATCATCATTCCTTGGAACCACCATTCCTAAAACCATAATTCCTTGGAATCATCATTCCCTGAGACCACCATTCCCTGGGACCATTATTCCTTGAGACCACCATTTTTGGAACCAGCATTCCCTGAAAATGTAATTCCTTGGAACCATAACTCCCTGAGATCATATTCCTTAGGACCATCATTTCTTGGAACCATCATTCCCTGAGACCACCATTCCCTGAGACCACCATTCCTTGGAACCAGCATTCCCTGAGACCACCACTTCTTGGAACCAGCTTTCCCTGAAATGGTAATTCCTTGGAATCATCATTCCCTGAGACCACCATTCCTTCAAACCAGCATTCCCTGAGACCACCACTCCTTGGAACCATCATTCCCTGAAATGGTAATTCCTTGGAATCATCATTCCTTGGAACCATCATTCCCTGAAACTGTAATTCCTCAGAACCATCATTCCCTGAGATCATATTCCTTAGGACCATCATTCCTTGGAATCATCATTCCCTGAAACCACCATTCCCGGGGACCATCATTCCTTGGAACCACCATTCCTTGGAACCATTATTCCTTGAGACCACCACTCCTTGGAACCAGCATTCCCTGAAATGGTAATTCCTTGGAATCATCATTCCCTGAAACTGTAATTCCTCAGAACCATCATTCCCTGAGATCATCATTCCTTAGAATCATCATTCCTTGGAACCACCATTCCTAAAACCATAATTCCTTGGAATCATCATTCCCTGAGACCACCATTCCTTCAAACCAGCATTCCCTGAGACCACCACTCCTTGGAACCATCATTCCCTGAAAATGTAATTCCTTGGAACCATAATTCCTTGGGACCATCATTCCTTGGAATCATCATTCCCTGAAACCACCATTCCCAGGGACCATCATTCCTTGGAACCACCTTTCCTTGGAACCATTATTCCTTGAGACCACCACTTCTTGGAACCAGCATTCCCTGAAATGGTAATTCCTTGGAATCATCATTCCCTGAAACTGTAATTCCTCGGAATCATTATTCCCTGAGATCATCATTCCTTAGAATCATCATACCTTGGAACCACCATTCCTAAAACCATAATTTCTTGGAATCATCATTCCCTGAGACCACCACTCCTTGGAACCAGCATTCCCTGAAATGGTAATTCCTTGAGACCATCATTCCTTAGGATCATCATACCTTGGAACCACCATTCCTAAAACCATAATTCCTTGGAATCATCATTCCCTGAAATGGTAATTCCTTGGAATCATCATTCCTTGAGACCATCATTCCTTGGAATCATCATTCCTTGGAACCATCATTCCCTGAAACTGTAATTCCTCAGAACCATCATTCCCTGAGATCATCATTCCTTAGGATCATCATTCCTTGGAACCATCATTCCCTGAGACCACCATTCCCTGAAACCATAATTCCTTGGAATCATCATTCCCTGAGACCACCCTTCCCTCAAACCACCATTCCCTGGACACCAGGACAGAACAGGAGGAGCTTTAAGACCCCTCCCAACCCAAACTCCCGACGATCCCACAACCTCTCCCAGCTGGAATTCCCTGACATAAAACAAGACTGATTATCCCACCCCTCAGCTAAACACCACATTTGCCTTGAGCTGCTTTCCCAGACACCCCCAGAAACCGCTACATCCCGAAATCCCAAAAATCCCCAAAATCCCTAAAATCCCTGGATCCCAGACATGCTGCTCACAGTTGCTGAGGTCGAAGGCGAGCTGCAGGCTCATGCACAGGTAGGCCTGGCAGCTGGAGCACCGGAGCATGTCACACTCCACGCTGACCCAGCCGAAGCGGGCGCACACCAGCGGCGACAGCGCGTGCGGCTTCCCCGCCCACCGCAGCGGGTGCGCCCGTCAAGGAGCCAACGCCAGAATTCCAGGGATTTCGTGGGGTGGGAATGGAGGAAACAGCCAGAATTTCCAGGATTTTATGGGGTGGGGAAAGGAGGAAACACCCAGAATTCCCAGGATTTCGTGGGGTGGGGAAAGGAGGAAAGGAGGAGGACAACATCCAGAATTCCCGGGATGTTATGGGGTGGGGAAAGCACACAACACCTGGAAATCTCGTGATTTTATGGGGTGAGGAAAGGAGACATTCGCCAGAATTCCCAGGATTTTATGGGGTGGGAATGGAGACAATGCCAGAATTCTCGGGATTTTATGCAGTGGGGAGAGCAGACAACAGCCAGAATTCCCGGGATTTTATGGGGTGGGGAAAGGAGACAACAGCCAGAATTCCCGGGATTTTATGGGGTGGGAATGGAGACAACAGCCAGAATTCCCGGGATTTTGTGGGGTGGGAATTGAGACAATGGCCAGAATTCCCGGGATTTTATGGGGTGGGAATGGAGACATCCTCCAGAATTCCCGGGGTTTCGTGGGGTGGGGAAAGCACACAACACCTGGAAATCTCATGATTTTATGGGATTGGGAAAAGAGACCACGGCCAGAATTCCCGGGATTTTATGCAGTGGAGAGAGCAGACAACAGCCAGAATTCCCGGGATTTCGTGGGGTGGGGAAAGGAGGAAACAGCCAGAATTCCCAGGATTTTATGGGGTGGGAAATGGAGACAACGGCCAGAATTCCTGGGATGTTATGGAGTGGGAATGGAGACAATGCTGGAATTCCTGGGATTTTATGGGGTGGGAATGGAGACAACAGCCAGAATTCCGGGGATGTTATGGGGTGGGAATGGAGACAATGCCAGAATTCACAGGATTTTATGGGGTGGGGAAAGGAGGAAACAGCCAGAATTCCCGGGATGTTATGGGGTGGGGAAAGGAGACAACAGCAGAATTCCCAGGATTTTATGGGGTGGGAATGCAGACAACAGCCAGAATTCCCGGGATTTTATGGGGTGGGGGAACCTTGCTCAGGAGGACAAGCAGAGGGATGGAAGAGGCAGGATTTTAGGAAAAGGCTGGGTTTAGGAAAAGGATGGATTTGAGGAAAAGTAGGATTTCAGGAAAAGGCAGAATTTGAGGAAGAGGTTTGATTTAGGAAAGGGATGGATTTAGGAAGAGGCAAGATTTTAGGAAGAGGCTGGATTCAGAAAAAGGCTGGATTTTAGGAAAAGGTGGGATTTAGGAAAAGCTTGGACTATAGGAAAAGGCTGGATTTGAGGGAGAGGCAGGATTTTAGGAATAGGCAGAATTTTGGGAAAATGTTGGATTTCAGAAAAAGGTGGGATTTGAGGAAAAGGCTGGATTTAGGAAGAGACTGGATTTTAGGGAAAGGTTGGATTTTAGGGAAAGGTTGGATTTTAGGGAAAGGTTGGATTTTAGGAAAAGACAGGATTTAAGGAAAAGACAGGACTTAGGAACTGAGCTTTCCCCAGGGAATGCTCACAGCTCCAAAGCTCCAGGAGCGTTGGGACAGCTCTCAGGGACAGGGTGGAATTTTGGGAATTGCACCAGTGATCCCTCTGGATCTCCCCCCAGAATTCCAAGGGGGAATTCCCAGCATCCCAAAGGATATGGTGAAAGTTTCCACTCTGCTGAAGTAGGCTTCCCTGCTGGCAGATTCCAAGGAAAGAGTCTCCATTTGGGAAGGACCATTGGCTCGCTCCGAGCAGTCCGACGTGTCCTTCCTGAAAGGAAAACACAGGGAAAATTCCTGGGGAAAGCTGGGGTTTGGGAAAGGCTGGGGTTTAGGAAAGGCTGGGTTTTGGGAAAGGCTGGGGTTTAGGAAAAGGTTGGATTTTAGGAAAAGGTTGGATTTTAGGAAAAGGTTGAATTTTAGGAAAAGGTTGAATTTTAGGAAAAGGTTGAATTTTAGGAAAAGACATTATGGGAAATGTTGGATTTTATTAGAAGGTTTGATTTAGGTAAAAGCTGGATTTTAGGAAAAGGCTGGATTTTAGGAAGTGTTGGATTTTAGGAAAAGAATGCATTTTAGGATAAGGCTTCCCTCCCAGTGCCCTCTCAGTATCCTCAGTACTCTCCCAGTGCTCCCAGTGCCCTCCCAGTGCTCCCAGTACCCTCCCAGTGCCCTCCCAGTGCTCCCAGTGCCCTCCCAGTACTCTCCCAGTGCTCCCAGTGCCCTCCCAGTACTCTCCCAGTGCTCCCAGTACCCTCCCAGTGCCCTTCCAGTGCTCCCAGTACCCTCCCAGTGCCCTCCCAGCGCCCTCCAGCTCCCCGCCAGGACCCCGAACAACACCGAGGGGTCCCCGGTTCCCTCACGGTTCCCCAAGTCCCTCACGGCTCCCCGAGTCCCTCACGACTCCCCGATTCCCTCACGAGCCCACTCCCCTCACACGACCGGGCCTCCCCCCGCCGCCAGCCCGGTGCCGGCGAGTCCCCCGCCACCGCCGCTGCCCCTTACCCGCCGGGCCCGGGCCCCTGGGTGGCGATGCCGCCGTCGATGAGGTCTCGGATCTGCCGGGGGGTTACGGGGGGCGGCCGCCCTCGGTTCCCGCCCGCCGCCGCCGCCGCCGCCGCTCCCCCGCCGCTGGCCGCCGCCATCTTGGTCCCTCCCCCCTCCCGTCCCGGCCTGGGAAACGCAGACCCGCACGAACGTTCCGCTCGCGCACCATCGTTCCGCTCGCGCCGCGGGGCCGCTCATGACCTCGCCCAACCCTCCCACGGCCGCCGGAGCCTCGCGGAGGGCTCGGGGGGCACCGGCGCCGTCGTGGAAGTCCCCGCGGATGTCCCCGTGAGTGTCCCCGCGAGTGTCCCCGCGAGTGTCCCCGCGCCCCCGCTCTCGGCGCTCAATTGCTCCAGCCTGCATCGATCGCTCAGCTCTCCCCACAGCGGCGCTCTCACCGCAGCATCCCCCAACCCGCCAACAAGCCCGCAGCTGATAGGCTGCGGCCGAAGAAGCTGGGCGCTGATTGGCTGCCGGCGCGCCGTCCCTCAGGAGCGGACGGGCCATGTCGGCGGCGGCCGCGGCCCGGGACGGGCTCGGGGAGGGCGCGGGCGGCGCCGCGGGCGGCGGCGATGGCAGCGGGGGAGGGATCCTGAACCGCTTCGTGCAGCTGCCGGGCAGGCCGCGGGCGGCGGGTGAGTGGCGGCCGGCGCTGACCCCGACGCCAAGGCCCGGGAGGAGTTCGGGACCGGGGCGGCCCCGACGCTGAGGGGGCTGAGGGGGCTGAGAGCGGAGCATCCCCAGCTCAGCTCGGGGCACCCCCATTTCTAAGCTCCTGAGGGGTTCGGGGTCGGGTCTGCGGGAGGTCGGGGACCGGGACACCGCCGTGCCCAAAGTCCTGAGGGGTCTGAGCGAGCAGCCCCAGCCCGGAGCGTCAGGAGCTGCGACAGACCCGTTCCCGAGGCTCCAAGGGAGTGGGAATCGCCCATTGCCGCGGTGTTGGGGAGCGGGGCACCCCCGTTCCTGGGGGTCCTTCCCGCTACAAGGTCCCGGTGTCACGCGTGTCCCCAAGGCCCTCAGGGGACTGTGACACTCGAGACCCCGCGGGGACAGCTGTCCCTGGCTCTGGGACATTGCTGCAGGGAGCACCCCAACAGACCGGGGATAATGGGGTCACCCTGTCCCCACACCCGGGAGTGCTGTGGGGGGAGCTGGGCTATTCCCATCCCAACGATCCCGGGCTCTGGAACCTGGAATCAGGGATTGGGGGGGGCAGTTATCCTTTTACAAACGGATTTAGGGTCACCCCCTCGTCTAGCCCGGTGGAGGGTCCCCCATCCCAGTGTTTTCCAGGTGTTGGGAGATGCTTGGATGCTCCATGTGGGGATAGGGGTATCCCACAGGGATCAGCTCTGTTTCACTCATCCTGGATTAGCCTGGGCTGGCCCCTGGTGATCCCCCCACTCTGCAATCCCTGAGTATCCCAAAAAATCCTGGGGGTTTTGGGACATCCCCACCATCCTGGCAGGGGAGATCCTGCCTGGGATGTGCTTAGTCCTGTTCCCTGGGAAAAGTGGCTCTTTCCTTCTTCCACCTCTCTCCTAGCAAGGCTGAAGGGTTATTCCATAACTTCTGGGTACCTGTCACCCCAAATATTCCAGGGGGAGGCTGAGGTTACCCCAGGATCACGGGATTGGGAAGCTCTGCAGTGCTGGCAGAGCTGTGGGACACCCCATGGCCCTGTGACATTCCCAGCTGCTGTGGAAAAATCCCTTTTTTCCTTAACCCTGGAGCTCCTCATCACCTTGAGCTGGACATTCCAGGATCAGGAATCCTTCCCTCAGTTCCTGTGGGACACGAAGCCCCTCACCACCAGCAGCTGGGAAGGGCTTTTCAATCCACACTCACACCCCTGAAACCTGCCATATATTTTCCCTGTAAATTAATTTCCCACGTGCCACGCTCTGCCTCAGCCTTCCAGCCTCTTCCAGCAGCACTGGGGATTTGCTGAGTGGCTGCACACCTTCTATTTTTGGCCAAATGCTCAGCCACATTTCCCTCCTCCTTTGGAAATGCCTTTTTTTGGCACACAGGCCCCGTTCTCTCCCCCTTGCTGCATTTGAAGGGTTGGTTGGATTGGATGGGAATTGCATCCTCCTCATCCTGCATGGATTATCTCCTTCCCTGCACCTGCCCAGCTCAGCCTTACCCCAAAACCAGCCCCAAAATCCTGCATTGTTGGGCTTTTCTCCTACTTTGACACCTGTTCAGCTCCTATTTATAGAGCTCCAGCAGCAGCCCTTACATAACCATTGGGAGAGGAATTTTCCCCCCTCATTCCATTTCCTCCATCCAGATTTGTTCCTGAGCTCCCAGTTCTCTTCCAGAGTTCCCAGCTTTGTTTTCTCAGCTCCCAGTTCTCCTCCAGACTTGTCAGGTTTCATTCCTCACCTCCTGCACAAGTTCCAGCTTTTCTTCACTTCCCATTTCTCTTAAATTTTCTTTTCTGCAGAATTTCCAGGTTTTCTTCACTTCCCAATTCTCTTAAATTTTCTTCCAAACTTTTCAAGATTCCTCTCTTACTCCCAGTTCTCTTCCAGAGTTCCCAGCTTTGTTTTCTCAGCTCCCAGATCTCCTCCAGACTTGTCAGGTTTCATTCCTCACCTCCCAGTTTTCCTGCAGAATTTCCAGGTTTTCTTAACTTCCCAATTCTCTAAATTCCCAATTCTCCTCTAAGTTTTCTTCCAAACTTTTCAGGTTTCTTTTCTTACTCCCAATTCTCTTCCAGAGTTTTCAGGAGTTGTTCCTCTATTTTCCCCATGCTATTCCATGCCCTGGTGTTTGTAAAGTTTGGAAAGATGAAAAAAAAATTCAAATACAGGTGGTTTGTGGTTTGTTCTTTTTCTGCCCACATTTTGCAGTGTTTTCATCTGGGATGAGAGAATTGGGACAATCTGGACACTTAAATGGATTTTTGCCTCTCCTGGCTCAGCATTCCTGCTGTTGCCTTCAGCTGTAATTTTCCCAGTCACAGAAGGCTTTGGGATTTTTTTTTTAATGAAGAGGTTCAGTTTTTAATATCTATTAAAAAAGAACAGAAATTACAAATATCTCAAACCCCTTTGTGTCGTGGAGAATTCCTGAATTAATGGGATAACATTCCAGGGACCCGCTGAAGCTGGAGGAGTGGGCAGGCAAGTGTGCAGTGTAGCAAAGACAAAATTCCAAGTGCAGCAGCTGGAATGACATCCCAAGAGTCCAGAATCTGGGATCTGTGAGGTTTGGGAGCAGCCCCAAGGGAAGGCAAATCAGGGCCTGGGCTGCATCCAGAGGGATGTTGGGAGGGAGAGGTGGGATCATCCTGCTCTTCCCAGTGCCCCTGGAATTCTGTGTCCAGTTCTGAGGATTCAAGAAATTCCCAGGCAGGCTGGAGAGCATCCAAAGGGGATGGTCCAAGGAAGGAAGGGCTGAAGGATTCAAGTCTCTTCTCTCTGGAATTCCCAGAGCAGCTGTGGCTGCCCCTGGATCCCTGGCAGTGTCCAAAATTTGGTTGGAATGGGCTTGGAGCAGCCTGGGATAGGGGAAGGTGTCCCTGCCCGTGGAATGGGATGATCCTTGGGATTCCATTCCATGGTTCTGTGGGAAGGGAGGGCTCAGATGGAACCTCACTGGGGTTTCCAGTCCTTAAAGGATGGAGGGTCTCCTTTCCATGGAGAGGATGAGGAGCAGTGGGGACAGGCTGCACTGGGAAGGTTCATCCCAGTGGAAAAAAAGACATTTTTTCCAGTGAGAATTCCATCATTCCCTGGGCCAGCCTCCCCCAGGATGTGGTGGAGTCCCTGGAGGGTTTCAGGATGTGGCTGCTCAAGGTGCTGAACAGCCTCGTCCCAAATCCTTTTCCCACAGGACATTGGAGCAGATAATCTTCCAGCTCTGTGGTTTTCATTCTCCAGAATTCTTTTCTTTTCCTTTCTGCTTCTTGGAAACAAACAACCCAAGGCTCAGTTTTAGTGGTGTAAAATCCTTTAAAACGTGATTGCCCCAAAGATTTTGGGAACAAAGCCTGGGAGAACCAGACCTGTTCACACAATCCCTGGGTTGGGAGAGAGCTCCAGGAGCATCGAGTCCAGCCCAGCCCCAGCAGCTCACCTCACCCAGTGCCACATCCAGGCTTTTCAAACACACCCAGGGCTGGTGACTCCACCACCTCCCCGTGCAGCCACCCCAGAACTTTATCACCTTTCTGGAAAAGCTTTTTCCTGCTCTCCCACCTGAATTTCCCTGGGCACAGCGTGAGGCTGTGTGCTCTGGTTCTGTCAGTGCTGCTGGAGACAGAGCCCGAGCCCAGCTGGGCACAGGCACCTTTCAGGAGCTGTGGGGAGCGATGGGGCCACCCCTGAGTCTCCTTTTCTCCAGGCTGAGCACCCCCAGCTCCCTCAGCTCCCTCACAGGGTTTGTGCTCCCAGCCCCTCTCCAGCCTCCTTGCCTGTTCTGACATTGATCCAAGCCCAGGAGCTCTCCCAGGATGATAATTCTGGAAACACTGCCTGGAGGTCTCAGGAATATCTGGAAATCTTTTGGCTGTCCTGCAGGTTGTGTTTGGCATCCTTGGCTGGATCTTCTGCCTTCTCCCATTTTCCCTCAGCCCCGTTGTTCAGGGACCCAGCTACAGCTGGGAATTTTTCCTCTTGGGAACTTTTCCTCTTGGGAATTTCTCAGGCCTGCCAAGGAAGGAAAGTGTGGGATCTGCAGAGGCTGAACACAGCTGGATGAACAAATAGGTTTTAAACCTCACTCTCAGCAATGCATTCCCAATCCTGCTTATCCAAACATTCCTGAGGGACTCCAATTACATGAGTTCCAAACTTATTTTGTCCTGCTGTTGTGGAAAAGATGAAACTTTGAAGATGGGAGTCAAAGTCAATATTGACTTGTCGTGTTCTGGGTTCAGCCCTTGACCTGAATGTCCTTCAGGATTCCTGCAGGGATCAGAAATGGAAAGGGAGAGATTGAATCCTGCTGTTGTGGATGTTGAAAAACCAAGCAGGAGGAAAAATAATCACAAAACCATCTTTAGAAAGCTTTATAAACAGAGAAAAGGACACGTGCCCAGCCTTGAGATATCCACCACGCACTTGGAAAAGAGGAGGATCCAAAGCCATGTTGAATTTGT